GGGGGGGGCATCACACCATCCCATGCGGAAGTCAAACTGGCAACCTTGTTGTTAAGAGCACATGCTCCAAGCAACTGAGCCATCCAGCCACCCGGAGGCAGCTCCTGGCTGCTCAGCTCAAGGTGCTGTGTTCAATCTTAGTTGCGGGAGGGACGCAGCCCACCATCCCATTCAGGAATCGAATCTGCAACCTGTTGTTAGGAGCACGTGCTCTCACCAGCTCAGTAGCAGCTCAGCTCGGGTGCAGCTCACTGGCCCATGTGGGAATTGAACCAGCAACTCTGTTGCTCAGAGCTGGCGCTCTAACCAACTGAGTCACCCGGCCGACACTCCCTTTTCTCTTCTTAATAAAACATTCCTATGTTTTAATGTACAGGCTTCCTTTTAAAATAAGATGCAAAAGGAACTGATGGGAGCCAGTATGTTTTTTTTTTTTTATGAGAAAGATGGCAGTGTTCAGGAAAACAGCAGGGACATAGAGGCAGCTTGCTGCTGGAGGTCACTGCCAGAGAGGGAGGGACGCACACTGACAGGTGGAGCTGGAAAGGTCCAGCTCCTGCCAGAGGAACACAGCTGGGATTCAGGGACGATGGCGCTCAGTGCAGACACAGCAGGGAGAAATAGGCACCTTGTCATAAGGAACCTTTGCCTTGAAGGCTTTGGCTGCTTCCACTTCTCTGCCATCGACTCGAACAGTCTATATTCCTCCTAGCTTTGGCTTGTGATTATTTTTAACTTGGAGTTTTATTGGTGTGATTTTCAATTTGGATAACTAAAACAAACTCTAATGAGTAAAGATGCCTGGTAGTCACCTAACTCTTGAAAGCCTGGGCTTTTATCAAGTACTTAGATGCATGCTACGTGATGGTGGGCATCTTCCCAAAGGAAGGCTATAGAATGAAGGATCCCATGTCTCATATACTTGTAATTCTACATCCTTATACTCGAAGCTTTGATTTAGGAGAATATATATACATATATACATATATACATACATACACACACACACACACACACACACACGTGTTTGTTTTATAACTAGAGGCTGGAGACTGATCTCTATGACAGAGGATGCTTAACACAGTTTTCCTCCTTCAGTAGCTTTCTAGTGTGTTTTGGAATTGTGTTTGTGTTGTTAATATTGATGCCCTTCCTCTAATGCCCTTTGTGTGTCTGGAGCACCAGGAACAGACTGACGACTTAAAAAGATATTTGCCTGGCTGCCCGAGCAGCTGGCCTCCTTCTCACAGGGATCACTGCACCAATGCCAAATGTCTCCTGGAACACTCTCTCTGCTCTAAGCCACACTATTACGAGATGGATGCTCACAACCTCCTTGCCAGGGCCCACTTTCTAATTTGGAGCGTGATGTAAAACATGGTATATTAAAGATTATTTGCATCTCACTTTCCTGTGTGCTCTCAATGCTCAACAAAGGCTGCATATGAAGCAAAATGGGTACGAGTTTTGCAGTACCCAGCAGTATACTAGTTACATGTAGGTATTTAATAAATGTTTAATTGAATTTCCTGGGTCCCTACAAAAATCAGACAGAAATTACAAAAAATCAACATTTTTCCAAGATCAACAGACTGAAGAGTTTCTTCCTAAATAAACAATCAGATGATAACTTTACATTTAATGGAGGTCATACCATCTACTGTTAATAGCCTTGACAATTTCTAATTTTCAAAAGGGAAAGAAATGAGCAAGAAACTTTCAGAGGACCTGCTTGGCCTGCTGATGAAAGCTGAGCTTCACTGCACCACAAAGACATCAGCGCTAAAGCACTAACAGAGCTTCTGCCAGCAAATATCACTAAGGCAGATGATTTGTTAAAGAAAGGAGGCATAAACATCCCACTCTTCCATGAGCCCCCTCTGAGAGAGTGCCTTTCGATCCAACAAGAATCAAATATCAATCAACGGTGACCATTTTAATAATGAAATTGTCCTTTTTAATTGACCTAAACACTACCACTGAGAACATTTTCCCATCCAAACGGCCCTTCTTAATGGCGAGGATATGTAAGTCCAGGGATGCTCGCACTGCCCAGTTCCTTTAGCACATTTGTCAAATGCCTGCCATTTGCAAAGTGTCAGAGCACAACAGTGCTGCCTTTGGTTTTTTGGGGGTTTTTTAATGCTGTAGCTAAAAAGAAAAATAAGAAAAAGAAAAAAATAACTGTTGACTTTCATGGCTTATTAACCAAGAAGAAAGACTGGCATTTCCATGTAACTGAGAACAAATGTGATGGCCCATGATTCATGAAGACTTCAAGAAAACAATAAACCCCAAACCAGGATAAAGCAGAAGGTAGAGTGCTATCCTGGCCCAAACCAAGATTTTAGTTTTGCTTTTGTGAAACTATATCCAAAGGCAATTAAAAGCACACGGTTTCTTCTGAATCAGTCCCTTTCCTTTGCTCATGACGGTTTCACTACCCAGTGAGAAAACTAATTGCTACGAAAAAGAAAATCACCGCAAGGGAAGGGAATTCTACAATAGTGTTTCCCTCTGTGTTTTTGAGAAGATTCTTAGTATTTTCAATTTTCATTTCTTTCAATTCTAAAGGCCTTCCAGTTTGACATCACACTGGAGATTGAAGTCAATAATATTAAACTATAAACTAACCAGAAATAAAGACACCCTAGTTCAGGACATTAGTGATTCATTTATTGGTTAAGTTAAAAGAACATATCAACACATCTGTTTAGTGAACTATCAATAAAATAGAAAACACATGGAGGGGTTTCCAAGTTGTTCTGACAGATTTTCAGTATTCTCATAGCAAGTTGGTTCAAACTGTAGGTCAATACTTACCATCACTGGTACAGCTGGTATTAACATCATGATTTTTACCCAAATTCATGTACCACTGATACTATTAAATAAATATAATGTGTATTTAAACGTATTCACCTTTTGAAATTTATTAGAAACTTTTATAGACCATAAATAAAAGCCAGTATCAACTGTAATAAATGGAAGACAAAAAAGCATATTACTCTTCTTCAGTATGTATTATTAAACTCAAAGCAGATACTTTTGGGGCCGGCCAAGTAGCTCAGTTGGTTGACAGCACGAGCTCTGAGCAACAGGGTTGCTGGTTCGATTCCCACATGGGCCAGTGAGCTGGGTCCAAGCTGAGCTTCCGCTGAGCTGCCAACAGGTGGCAGGATGGCTCGGCTGGTGAGAGCACATGGTCCTAACAACAAGGTTGCTGGTTCGACTCCCGCATGGGATGGGGGGGCTGCGCCCATCCACAACTAAGATTGAACATGGCACCTTGAGCTGAGTGGCCGAGAGCTGCTGACGGGCAGCCGGATGGTGACTGGACTTGAAGCTGAGCTAGCTGCGCCCTCCACAACTAAAATTGAAGGAGAACAACTTGGCTGTTTTCCTTCCCCAATACTGCTCCCCTTCCTCAATTCCCCAATAAAAAAAAAAATCTAAACAAACAAACAAACAAAAAAAAGTAGTTACTTTTGCCTGTTTAAGGCTGAGATTTATGGCTGTTCTCACTGTTAAAAATATACATGCAAGTGTTAAAAGTAGTGCTGGACAGATCACAGCATCAAACTAAGCACCTTTCAGAAAGATTGATAGAAAACAGAAAAATTATCTGCATTATATAATTCAATGTCATTTAGTGTTATGCTGTGTATCATGTAAAATAATTTCAAATGTTAAATCATGGTCCCAAACCCACACCCAGAGACACACTGAGCTCTTCTACTATAGGGTTGTCAGAAAAGTCATGACGCATTTTTGCAATAGAAAAAATATGTCATGACTTTTCCAACAACCCAATAAATAATACAGACTGTGCACAGACTCACACATGTACATGAGCCATACTAAGCATGAGACATGGATTAAAAAGTACAAGACCAACAGTCAGACAAGCTATTCCCAGCTTCCTCTTCCAAGCATGACGAGAATACTGATGGGGGAATGGTGAACAGAAGTGAGTCATTATCTCAAACCTAACAAACACAAGAAATGACACTGTCCATAGTTTATCAAAATCGTTATTTGATTAAACAAATGAGATTGGTGTAGGCAAGCCAAGAGGAATGCTAAGTATTAGGGAAGGCACTTACGGAGCTTCGACACTTGTTTTCTACTCTTAAAAGAAATCAATGAAAATAATGAATAGCCCTTGAAAGTAAAAAGTCGCTGTGGAGAATCTGATTTTCAATTAGGAATGGAAAATGTACTCCACATAGTTCAAAAGGTAATATTTGATAAGCTTTTTCTACCTGCAACCATGTGACCTTGTTAAAAAAAATTAAAACTCCACAAACTTAAGAGTAGCATGCAGCACTTACTGGTAATGTACCCAGGATGGTCCAAGAGTTTTCTTGAATTGAGCGAGTCCTACAATATCAATATAAATGAGCTCAACGATTCTGTCTCCTACAGTTGGGCAGCCAGAACGGTTTCCTACAACCTTCTTCATTATTCTAGAGAAAGGGCAGAAGAGACGGATAAAAGAAAAACAATTTACTTCAGGGTACTACACTGAACAACTTTAATAGGTAAATAAACATCCAAGAATCCTTATCAGACAGAATGGCAAGGTCCTTCCCAATCTACTGCTTATCCAAGTTCTGCCCACCCATCAAGGTCCTGATTCCAACTCTTGCAAAAGGAAATGGTGTACAAACACAGCCTTTGAAATCAAGGAAGATAGAGATCTGAATTTATCTCCACTCTCTAGCAGCTGTGCGATCTTAGACAAGTTACTTAACTTCAGAATCTTTCCTCACCATCAAACAAACAAACAAACAAAAAAACCCACCACCACAAAACCAGATTGGATACTGAGAAGAAAAGACAGCAATCTCTCAGGGATTCTTCAGATGGTATTATAATACCCCAGCCCTTACTGACCTCCTATTTCTGACCTCTTCTATTTCTGGCATCTACAGTATAAACTTAATTTTATAGTGTCTTGTATTGTTTCCTAATTTTTTCTCTTACGTAAAATTGTTCCTTCTGACTAGACCAGGGGTCGGCAAACTTGAGACGGAAGAGCCGCCAGTGGTCAGCAAACTGCGGCTTGTGAGCCGTAGGCTCTGAAGTAAAATTAAAAATGAAAATAAAATGATCATAGTTTCATTTTTAAAGGATATTATTCACATAATGGTGATTATGTAAAAATATATTATGGCTCTTGAATAATTTTTAAATTGTTGTGAGGGACAGAATTGGCTCTTCCAGGAGTCGGCAAACTTTTGAGATGGAACGTACCCAAAGAGCCACATGTGGCTTGCGAGCCACAGTTTGCCAATCCCTGGACTAAACTGTTATTACAGACTGGCACTACCATTTCTTCCACCCTGCCATTCCCCTAAAAGTGGGTCATCACTGAAGCCTTTTGTCCCTGCTCATCACCCACAACAATCCTTCACCAAATTATGGATCGATTCTACTTCTAAGGACAACACTCATATACAGGACTCTGCTCTGTAGCTCCAAACTGCCTCTGTCCCAGGCACCCTGCCCCTCTCCTCTGGTTCCCTATAACCAATTTCTTCCCAAGAATTTGAAGATTTTTTGGTAAAAGGCTAGATAGTAAATACTTTTATCTTTGAAGGCCATACTTTCTCTGTCTCAACTACTCAACTCGCCATTGTAGAATGAAAGCCGTCACAGTTGATACAGGAACAATGGGTATAGCTGTGTTCTCATGAAACCTCATTAACAAAAACTGGCAGGACAAGACCTGGCCCATGAAACCTGAATTTCCTGATTCCTGGTCCACCCTGTATTCAGTGGTTTCCAGACTTGTCTGCACGTTGGAATTACCTGAAGGCACCAAAAGATATGTATGCCTGTACCCTATCCCTAAAGGTTGTGATCTGATTAGTCTGAGATATGGTCTGAGTCTGGGGAATCTAAAAAGTTCCCCAGGTAGTTCTACTGTGCAGGCGTGTTCGGGAACCACTGCTCTACATTGCTTCCACAATTGTTGTGTTAAACAAAACACATCTATCCCTGTCACTTGTGCTTAAAGACCTCTACAGACTTCCTCTCGACCTCCAATCTAAGCCTTTGCCTGATAAGACCTCTAATATGCCTTTCCTGACCTCCCCAAAAGCACCTGTCCCTGGGGTTCCAATAGTATTCCATTTGTAAGCCCACTCATTCATTCATCCACTTATTCATCCTTTCACTCATTGGTTCAGTGAATAGTTATGAGTACCCACTGTGTGCTAGGCACTATTCTAGGTGCTAAAAACACAGTAGGCAGTATTTCCACAGGTTCTGCACTCCCTGTGCTTACATTCTAGCATTCATATCTCAATTAGTACTAATCGCATACTAGTTGTCATTATCAAAAGATTGGCATTTCCTTGACCACATGCTGGTCATCTCTGTCTATCCCATACCAAGAACCAGCCCACAGAGGGCAGGGAGGGAATGACAGTTAACTGTATGAATGCACCCACTTCATAGGTTTTGTACCCAGTGTGTTTTGAAGTAAACAGGAAGGAGGCAACAGAAGGCAGCCTGCCATAGGGACACAGTGGTGATTAAGGGTTCAGACGACCTTAGGTTTATCTATTCATAGATCTGAAAGGAGCAATGCAGTACAGTGGTCAAGAGCACAGGCTTTGAGGTTAGACATAGGGTTCCAGTCCTGGTTTCCCATGGATTTTCCACGTGACCTTAAACAACTCATTTGTGGCTTGAACCACAGTTTTCCCATCTTTAAAATGCAGAAAGCAATAGTACCTATTTCCAGGTTTGTGCTAAGGACAAAATACAATAAAATGTGTAAAATGCTTAATATCTGAGGTACAGTAAGTACTCAACAAATGTTAGTTAATAGTCATCACGGTTGTCATAACTGCTGAAACTGCTGCTGTACTAAAGCCCTTATCAGTTTCACTTAAAGGACGGCTGATATTATCTTACTGATATTGCTTTCATCTCAGCACGGCCACTAAGCAGGTGTGGACCTTGGACCTAATACAAGTGACCTCTCTAGGAGTCAGTATCTTGAACGAAAAAGTAGGGTGGGACATATTTTAACACCCCTTCCACCTCCAGAATATTCATTCAAGGTGTATCTTGTGGAACATTTGACATGTTGCAACATGTTTTGCAAAAGTCTCAGTGGGCAGTTATCCAAAAGGAGTGAAAGGGCTCTATGCATTCCTGCTTAGCCAGCTATGTCAATCTAAAAGAGATTAAGAAAAGGCTAGAGCTAGAAGCGAATCTCAGTGAAATAGAAAACCCAGGTAGAGCTAACAGGCTCAGAGTTGAAAGTTGGCTAATTGAAAAAGGATTGGATCAGGGCTTTCAGGAAACTCATTCTATCTAAATTAAATTATAAACAGGAACCTGCCCTGCTTCAAGATTTAGAAGGCTTGATGTTGAGTAGGGAATGGTATGAATTTCAGCAAGAGACAGGGAATTAGGAAAGTCAATAATGTTTTGTGCAGATGTTGGAAGCACCTGTAATATCAAAGAATAAGCTCCTTAGTTTGAATTTTCTGGCATTCATTTATGCAGCCTCTGGAGCCTGTAGCTACAATGAAAACATATTATCCTTTTCACAGTGTATGTATTTAGCTCCTGAAAATAATCTTCTTATCTCCTGTTTAGTGAATTATCACTTTCATTTTCCTCCGCAAGAAATTACACACTAATAGAGGGCTTTAAGAGTTTACAATTTCTTTTTTGTATTCTGATTTTAAAATTGAAAAGTAATCTCCTTACTCCTTGAGCTCAGCCAGTGAAGCTGAAATCCTAATGTCATGGCCCAGTAAGTACAGAGATGTAATTAAATCACTCCACTGAACTAATTCACCGAGAGGGCCACCACTGAAAGCTGTCTCTGCAATCTTAAATCCAGATTCCTTCGTCAGGAGTCCCAGGTGAACAAGGACCTGAAAAAAAAAAAAAAGAGGCACATACTGATTCCCACTGAAACAAGCATCAACTCCGCAGTAAAACACCAAAAAGCGATCAACCAATTCTACAGTCATGTTTACGTTCTATTGAAACCCCAATGTGGGGTAAATAGTGTTTCTACAAAGTACAAAGAAAGGAAGGAAATGATTTCCCATTGTTGTTTTAGAGAAATAAAGTCATTATTGCCCTCAGCATGGCTAAGCGCATCAGATACGGACTTTTAAAAAGAAGGATATATTTGGAAAGTCAGAATTAAAGGAGGGTAAGCCAGGGAAATAAAATACTTTTTAATAACTTCGGACATTTTCCCATAGCTAAAGTATTTTTACACTTTTAACATGGAAAATTTCAAACATGTACAAAAGCAGAGATGATGAGATAGTCAATTCCAATGTACTCACCATGTAACTTCAATAATTATTAACTCATGACAAATCTTTAATGCACACCACTCATTTTCTCCCAACACCTCTATCTTATCTTGAAGCAAATCCTAGACATCACCTGCTTTCATCTATATTTCAGTTTGTAACTCAACAAGAAACAAACTTTCACTTAAAAAACCATAATATCACTCTCACCCTTAGAATAGCTATTAATTCCTTAATATCATTCAATATCCAGTTAGTGTTTACACTTCCTCAGGTGTCCCTTATTTTTTCAAGTGTAGACGTTTTGAGTCAGAAGTCAAATAAAGTACATAAATTGTAATGGCTTCATATATCTCTTAGCCTTCTATAATCTATAGTAGTTACTGATCATTCTTTTTTTGGGGGGTGGGGGTATGTTTCTAATTTATATGTCTAAGAAAGTGGGTTGTATTTCCAATAGTCTCTCTCATACTCCAGGTTTTGCTGATTGTGTAACAGATTCTTCTGTCCCTTGTATTTATGGTAAATTAGTAATTAGATCTGTATACATGACTCATTCATATTCGGGTTTTTTTGGCAATACTACTTCACAGGTAGTGCTGTGTACTTCCACTGGTTTTGTGATGTTAGCAGCTACTGATGATCACTAAATGCATTAATCCATTAGGGGTGGCAAAAGGGTGCCATTCTATCATTCCTTCTGCATCTATTAGCTGGGATACATCTATAAAGAGAAACTACCCCCCATCAACTATTTGGTTACTCTCAAATGCAGTTTACTTAAAAAAAAAACCAAAAAAAAAACACGTGGTCAATGCTTCGTTTTTCCCATTTATTTACCGATTTAAAAAAAACACACAAACAAACCTAAATTTGTTCTTTTGCATTCTCTAATAATAAGTAATAAGGATTTAAAAATATAGGTATCATTATAAAATCATGGATGTAAGTATATATGATGTGTTTCAATAAACTGCAGTTATTATTCTTATTGATTATCAAGTTGTCTCATCTTGGCTAATGGGAGGCTGTTCAAGTTGGCTTCTAAAGTTCTTTTGACACAATCCCTATAGTCCTCGATAGTTTGTTTGCCTTCTGGTATGACCGGGTGATCCAAGCTCATGCACAACTTCTGTCTCAGACTTTAGCCAACTTTCTAAGAAACTCTTCTTCCATTTATTGAAAATGGAATATCAAGAGCAAAGTCTGGTGCTTAGGGGACTCTAGATTACCACTGTTTGTAGGCCTAGTCAGTGGTCATAGCTAGAAAATTTATCTTTCATTAAGGATAAAACTAATCATTAGTTAACACTGGTTTTTCCAATTCAAACTCGGGATTACAGTATCTTTACATAATATTATCCATCTGACATCTGTTACTTCCTCTCTCCCACACTGATAATCCCACTTTTCAAGGACACTAACATAATTACTCATTTGCTTTATTCCAATACACACAATGGAGTCCAAATGAGAATATCAACACCACCACCTACTACAAGGTAAGTAAAAATTGTTTTATATATTTTTGCAGTATTTTGTCCTTTATCCCATCAGAAATATTCAACTTAATTAAATTTTATTGTACACTTATGTAAAATGATTTCAGTATCAAATCTATGAAGTAAAATATATTCAGAGAAGTGTGGTTTCTATACCTGTTGCCTCTGCGCTATTCCCCCCGCCCCTCCTCATCTGACCTTTGTTTTATTCTGGTAAAATATACATAAAATAAAATTTACCATTTTAAACATTTTTAAATATACAGTTCAGTAGCATTAAGTAAATTCACATCGTTATGCAACCATCATCACCATCCATTTCCTTTTATTTTAAATTTTATGGTTTATCCTTCCATTTAAAAATATATGAGCAAGAAGTGTATATGTGTATTATATATATAATATATAGTTTGTATATATGTATGTACATGTATACATGTAGATATAGATATATCAATTCCCTCTCCCTTTGAAAAATAATGTTCACTATTTTCCAGCTAACTTTTCTTTACCTAATAATATCCTGGAGGTTACGTCATAGGATTATACAGAAATACTGTTTACTTCTCTTTACAGCCCACCTGGGTCTCTGTCCACATACTCTTCCACAGAGGACTGTTTGGTGCCAGGGCATTTGGTCCTATTATCTCATCAACTCAAGAGATCTAAGCAAAACTGACCCATCAAAGTGTGACTTGGGGTTTTGCAAGTGTATCTGTATTTTCTTTTTCCAGGATATCAAATTAGTCAAATTAGGAATACCTAACGCATTTTTAATTTATTTTTAGATATAGTAACAGATCATTTACTTTGCTCAGCTTTTCATTAACAGAACAGTTCATCTAAAGCCACAGCCACTTAGTCTCTAACTAATAGGGTATAAAATCTTCCATGCTCAGGGGTATTCTAGTTCTTCCAAGCATTGAAACAAACTGGTTCAAGTTCAACTTCCAGTATCTCTCTCTCAAGAACGTAAGCAGCAGTACAAACCAAACAGAGAAGCAATGGGACTAACCAGTTGCCCAAACCCCAGGGCTGACAAACACCAAAAGTAGAAAATTGTCATCATGATGTAACAGTAAGTTCTCACAGGTTGTGTACAAGTAAAAAAAAAGCAGGTCAAGTTTCCTAAAACCACTGAGACAGATATATGGTTCAAAGGCAACATCTTACAGGCAGATATTCGGCTTGGCTTCACCCAAGAAGCACGTGTGCTGGTCCTTGCTAAGTAAGATGATTGTAACTGGGGAAAGGAAAACCCAAAAATGGCTGTGCAAGAGGCAGAGCAGGTTCATCCCCAGGGAATATCATTGAGGCATGACATTTCTCTTAATCTTGTTTCCAAGCAAAATCAAATGTTAAAAGAAAACTGGCATCTAACTGAACTGACTTAATTAGAAACTCACTTTCTTCCTTTTTCTCTTTTCAAGATTCTGCTTTTCTGCCAGGGACTTGATTGCCTGGATCCACGCATCAGCCATTCGTCGGATCCGCAATCGCATCCAGCGGAATTCTTCATGCTTTTTCATCATGCTGTAGAGAATATTAAAATCTGTACGAATTTCCGCCTGGAAGCAGAAATTTAATAAAAATGAGAAGAAGATAAAAAGTCAGAAAGTATAATGGTTTTCATGAGGTGACATCTGAAAACTTGAAAGAGGTACTCAATTAAATACAGGGCTTCAAAAGTGGGTCTTGTCTGATGCACAGCTTTACTTTTAAGGTCCCAGGGTTGCAAATTGAAGCAAAGGCCCCTGACAACTGATCTGCTATAAAGGATATCATTTATAAAATTAGAAATTGAGAAAGAAAGCATAGTCATTGCAAAGCCCTGAGCTATGTTAAAATGGATTTTTATTTTTTTTTTAAATAATGAGTAAGCTTCATGTACCCTGAAATTCTCTGCACCTGAATTTACTGGCCACTTCAATCTACTGCAGGGTAGCAGGCTCCAGGAAAGCTGAAGTCAATTCTTAACAGGCTACCTGGTATTGTGTAGGCTGCCAAAAAGCCTCATTCTGTTCATAATAATAATTATGGAGGGAAAATACATGCTTCTTATCCAGTTTTTTCCCAGTCCAAACAAATAAAAGTTCATTATTTTCTAAAGAATTTAAAAGCCAGGAATAACATTTTCCTATCACAACTGAATAACATTTAAAATTCAGGCCAGGATAATTTAAAAGCCAGGAAGAACATTTTTATAAGGTAGCTGGAAATGACCAGTGATTGAAATAACAGAAAAAAATAACACGAATATTTTTCATATAACATCTGAAACTTGCTGAATCCATCTTTCAATGGTCACCATAGTTCATTTTAAACACTCGTCTGATCATGTCCCTCCTTGACTCAACAATTTCCCATGACCTAAGCATGAGTCAGCAAACAATGGGTCTTGGGGAGAATCCTCCTTGGTGCTTGTTTTTGTACATGAACTTTTATTGGAACAAGGCCACACCCATTCATTTACATACTGTCTATGGCAGCCCTCTAAGTTACCAGGTCAGAATTGAGTAGTTGTGACAGGGACCTTAACTGCCTACAAAGATGTAAGTATTTACTACCTGGCCTCTTACAGAAAACATCTACAGATTCCCCAGTCTAGAGACTTAAGCCTTTCACCGTCCCCTACCTACTACCTTTCCAACCTCATCTTCACCCCAGCTCATCTAAACCCTCTTGGCCTTATCCCACTGATTCATGCTCTACCCTACTCCCTGAAAATGCAAAATTCTTGTACATGGAACTTCTCCCTCAAATCAGACACCTTTATCTCCTTGACCCAGTATAAACTCACTCATCATTTTCAATTCAGCTCCAATGTCTTCTTCTCTTTGCCATATCTCCTGAACCCTACAGTCTGAGACTGCCACTTCCTCATTAATTTCTGTGGGTCCGTAATCTGGCACTTACACAGGTATGGTCACTATTTACAACCCCAGCCTTCCTTAGATCACGGAGCACCTCCACATCTGACATAAAGTCTTATTCTTATCAGTAGCCTATTGCTTAGGAACCCTCAGAGGATTGCTCAATATTTATACACAAACTGGATGACTTATTTGGTCACCGAGATTTCTACAGGACTGGGGACGGAAGTTCTTCAGGTTATCACTATTTCAGATTACAACTGGTATTTCCATAAGACTCCACATGTATCAACTGGCATCAGACCCAAATCACAAGTCTAGTAAGAGGTTTCCAAAGTCACTTACCAACGAATTATGATCAGCTTCTTCATAGGGATTTTTTGCTCTCCAAGGTAAATGAGGACACCAATTTTCAACCTGAAAAATATAAATCAGAGGCACTAAGTATGCTGGTTCATCTGCAAATGAATTAATGGATGCACAAAACACTGAGCATAGTTACTGACACACCATGAGCACTATATTTAAATGGGTTATTAATATTATTTGTTGGAGTCCTACACTTTTAGCCAGCAATCCAGGGACAGGTGCCCTCTCAGATGAAACAATAATCACCAAA